TCCCTATATAAGATTAGCATTTAACGGCTCTGGATAGTCTCAGTTCGAAAACTTCTATCACCGAGGCTCGTCGTTTGATCTGGTGAATTCGGTTGAGGTATGTTGGTTGTTTCTTTCGAATTACGTGCTGGACTTAGAGGGGGTCGAAAGGGTAGGGCGTGCTTTGATGGTGGGTCGGAGATCATTAATTCAGCCTGACCCTTTCAGGCTCCGAAGAAGGCGAAACGCCGAAACGTCAGCCGATAAACATTCATAACAACCTCGTCTAAGCAGTTCAAAGAAAAACTCTATAACAACATATAAGTTACATTTCACTGGATTCTGATTTGGCCATTCCAACACTATATTCAACAGCACACTGCACACTATAACGATACTCCGCCACAGCCTTCCGGAGGAGCGCCATCGAGAGTTTCTGCCGGTGCCTGAGTTCAGTGAGGTCCTTGATTTCTCCGCCACTGTAGACCACTGTTGGTTTCCACTCGAACCCGGTAATCGAGGGGGGGGGGTTCAGGTCAGGCGACACACTTGATATCCCGTCTTCGTCAGGTATTCAACGCAAATCGATTCCAAGTAGGCGAGAATTCTTCCGACGCCCTTGGAATCCATGTGCTGGCCCTCAGTACTGTAGCAGCACGAATGTTCCAAGAAGGTGCAGGCGACAAAATGAAGACAGGATACTCTCTTCGAGTTCGTCGATGTAACCGTTACCGTTCGCTTTCAAGTCTGGGGCCACGAAGGAAATATCGGTCTTCCCATTCCAAGGAACTTTTGGTCCATACCGTCAACCCGCGCCTTGGCGACTGCGGTGAAGATGATATCCTGGACCGTAGCGACGTTGTCGGAGCTGCTCGATGTTGGAGGTCTTCCAGATCAAGAGTGCCGGTCCCAGGTAGCTATGTATAGGGTGCCTCCGTCTTCTGTCTGGGCTGCGAAAACTTAGCTAATATGTGACTCGGCCGAAGTGTCTTTTTTTGCCCCCCCCCCACTGTGATGTTGTGTCTTCGGGCTATCAATGATTAATTAGTCATTTGATTTACCTGTTTGAGGGCAATCTCCGTAACATCAGGTGCCATGTCGCAACTCTCGCGGTATGCCTCTCCGGCAGGACACTCAATGAGGAAACATATCTAAAATAAAACCTCGAGAAACATCAAGAATGTCAAACGTCAGCGCTTGGCGAGAAAAATGTCCACCTGATATTGGAACACATATGGCTACCCTCCTTCGCTCGCTTATAATGTAACACAGAATGTCTCTGCCCGGTGTAATGTTGTCTCTCTGCGCATTCACAATCAGGTGTAATGTTTCTACATCTGATTGTGAATGCGCAGAGAGATTGGAGGAAATTGCCTTACGCGTCGATTTTTCAGCATACTTTCTGTGACATAGTATTTCAACATTGTTTTGCTGGCTACCGGTTTGTCATCCACCTCTCTGAAACAGCTGTTTGATTTTCTCCTGCATAGTCTTGTTGTCATTGTCCCATTGATCCATTGTCACTTGCGCGAATTGTTAACGCAAAACAATCTTCTCCCATTTTCTGTGACCACTTAGTCCAGCCAGCCTGATCCATATAAGGGAAATGAAGAGAGTGTTGTGGATGTCACAGCTCCTCCAGATGAAGTGAGAGGTCACTGTGAGAAAGAGGTAGAAAACGCCTCCAATACCAGTTCAAGGAGGACGGCAGTGGTGGAAAATGGAGTAATTACCACAGGGTTATAATCTACAGTACTGGCCAACAAAATAGTTTCCTAGCGTTTAGCCTCCAGATTGCCATAAAGGGCGCCCCTCCTGTCATTTCATTGTTTTGTATAAGTCGCAATGGTAAAAAATGAATTAATGGCCAACATAATATAAGTGATACTCTGAAGGTGGGCCAGTTAAATTGCCTATATAGAAGAGCGATTTTTACACCCCATGTGTTTCCAATAGTAGGAAATACCGTAATCAAAAATAGTGTCTGAGACTGAAAGTACCTACCGTATTATATCGCCAGGACGGAGATGAACAGCAGCGATACTTGAGTAATCGACATTATGCACCTAAGCCAAGAATATGTGTTCGGCTTTATAAATGAAAATATGAAAATTTGTTTGAAGTTCGCACGCTTCTTGAGAAACCGTCAATTAAAGAATTTCTCAACTGATCACACAGGTGGTAAATCAGCAGGGAGTTTGCACAAAATGAAACAATTACTAGGCAGTACTGTGAGTGGGATCAGAATTGGCAGCATCTGAAAGATATTTACCGTGTAGTCAGCCGCGATTACGGCATGGCTCATTTACCGGAGGGCATCGATGTATCCGCAGCCGATGAGAGATAAGTGTCCAGGACTGGTACAGTGGAAGTGGACTTTTCGAGAATGGAGTTAAGAGAATCTGCGACGTTATCAAGACTGCTCGTATAAAACGACGCCTCACATAATCAACTTATACAGTTGCTCAACCGACATGCTAATGCTATTCCTCCCATCTATTCCATGAATCAATAAAGACCACTCAACAAATAATTGAAAACAGAGAAAAGCATAAACAAGAGGTGAAAAGAAATAATCGAGCACCTGCAATCTTTCTCTGGCATCGTACTTTACGTGAAGACCAAGCTGAACGTTGCTCAACTCAGGAGCGGCGCTCATTTGGATCGCTATCTGAAAGATTTGTTGTGTTTTCACTCTGCCACATCAAGTGTCTCATGCACCAACCTGGCGGAAGCGCACTCGTTCCTATGTTTGCAGAAGGGGCTTGTTTATGGCAGTGACCTCAGAATTACTGGGAAACTGCTTTCAGATGGCAAGGCAGAACAATCTCATCGCGTTCCCTCTGTCATGGTGATCCTTGCGAATGTCATTTTTTTGTGCGCCCGTAACCACTGCGCGAGCAGATTTCGGTTGCATTTTCTGGGCAGCTTCGTCAAGGGTCGGAAGGAAGCCACTCCAATCATGTACGGAATCCCGCAGTAGGAGCTGTTATGAAAAATCGTAAGTTCACTCCGTTTATAGTCCTGGTAAGTTCTGCTGTGACCTGTGGGTGCAAGTCGATGTGTGATGTGATCGGAAGCAGTATGGTGATCGGGGACGTCACTTATCGTAGAGGTCTCTTCAAACCCGATTGATTGCAACTGATATTTGGAGTGATACTCACTCGTCTGTGAGTATAAAACAAGGCAAAGTATACCGCTCAGCCATTGCATAGGACAAGTCCTATGTGAATGCAAGCAAGACTTGAAAATGGACCATCCGAAGATCACAGTAACCTATGCTAAGTCTCAGGCT